GAGATGACCCGGTTTTATGGAAGGAGTGCTGTGATCTCTGTGAAAGGCAAACGTATTACACATGAGTCAAACTGGCCATACTTGGCTGGAATAGCTTCAGCTGAAGGGCCCAAGTTTGAGCCATGGTTGACTCTGTCGGAAACCAAAAAGTCAATGTAACCACTTTACAACCGTGCTATAGGCGAATGATGGCTACAGCATGGTTGTCCAGGCCCGGGAGGGCATCATATGACGTCCCCCCAGGACATGACCCCCCCCGTGACAGCATGAGGAAAGTACTGCCAATAACCGGCAAGTGTCACAGAGGATGTCTGCAACTGATAATCAGGGACCTGATTATCAATTCAGTCCCAAAAGTCCCAAATCGAGCTGGTGAGAGAGAGAGAGAGAGAGAGAGAGAGAGAGAGGAGAGAGAGGGGGGGAGAGGAAGGAAGGAAGGAAGGAAGGAAGAGAGAAAGAGAGAAAGAGAGAACGAGAGAAAGAAAAGAAAGAAAGAGAAAAATATAGATAGATAGATAGATAGATGTATTTAGCCTAATACATACCTATAAAGTGTTCAGCTGTTGAACTCTGCAAATAACAGATTTTCTTTTTTCGCCAGCAACGTTCAGTATGCTTGGTAAATATATGGCTCCACCTTCTGGCTTCAGATTGTAAATATGATATATTTTAATGCAATATGTTATACTAATTTGACTAAAATACACAATGAATAAATAAAAAACTAAACAAATATATTTGTCATTTTAGTCCTAATTATGATACAGCCCACAGTGGGCACATATTCCCTCTGAACCCCAGCATAAACTCTACATCAGTACTGTATACTCTGGTTGGATTGGATTACCTGTTATGCTGGTTTGTCATCCAGTTCTGCCCAGTCAGCTCTAACCCTGCAGCTGTATTAGGGAAATCAGATAAACCTGCCAGGAGGTTTCTGGGCAGTGAGAGAACAATGAGAGCCCAGCAGAGCAGGAATCTTCAATTGTAGGCAGGTGCCGTCTGCTTTCTCCACTGTAGGTGGCGCTCTTGCAGAGAGAAGGAAGGAGAGGAAGCCATTACTTTTCTCTTGGACCCTTTAATTCTCTGAGACAATGCTGTTTCCTTAAATAATAACATCATAGACTTCCTTTGTCTTCCTTCTGCATCTCACTGACCTCAGGACACAACATTCTTTATTTAAAATACATATATACCGGGAAGTCATGAATCAGAGCTGACATGTGTTGTACGCTCAGGGAAAAACTCGACATCCCCATTCAGACATCTGCTGAAGAAGCCAGCAGGTAATGCTGCCTGCAACACCATATAACGATGTCACAACAAATATGGATCTAGTGACAACATCATTACATCACTCTTCAGAAGGATTCTGTGCTCAATACTCAGCACGACCACTACAGAAAATAATGCGGAATCATCATCGGCATGTCTACGCCAGTCATAACATTTATTTCTATGAGTAGGTTTTAATTACTTGTGCATATATAGATGTCATTTCTGTACAATCACCCTGCAACAGATTTGTTTACAGAAGTTGTTCAGCAGGGATGCTGATTGCATTATCTCCACTACTAATAGCCATTAGAACAATTACACATCAGTGGGAGCATTTGTTGGTGCTAATTGTTCTCATACATCATAATAATGATGATAATTACGTTGTTGCTGTCACAGTAGAACATCGTCGTGTTGGGTCTCGGGTTATTAGTAGGCACGTGCAAAACAAAAAAATTCATTTTGTTTCATTTCTATTCGTTACTAATTTTGTTTCGTTTGATTCATTTATTTAGTTTTTGGAATTTTTTTTATTCCATTTATTTGAATTCAATCGGATTCGAAAAGAATTCTAATGTTACAATCCGTATGTATTTTTTGATGGTATATGAGCTATATGAAGAGTTGCGCAACCATATTGGAAATTTCTATTTTTTTTTTCAGCACAATTTTCACAGTGCCTTTCACTACACAAGTCACCATAGCACAGCTCACAAATTGTATTGTTTTGCAAAGTATTATATTCTTTTCTATTCTATTCTTTTCTAATGTAGAATTCATTCTACTCGAAATTCGAATTTCAGAAGACAGTTATATTTTTTCTATATTTTTCTATTCTAATGTTTTTGTATTCTATTCCATTATTTTCTATTCTATTCTTTGATTTTCTATTCTATCCTAATCTTTTTGATTCTATTTTAATTGAATCGTATCCTTTCTATTCTATTCCTTTATTTTATTTTCTATTTTGCTCTGTTTTACTCTATTCTTTTATTCTATACTTTCATTCTTTTGTATTCTGTTCTATTTTTTACATTTTTTATTCTGTTCTTTTTTCCTCTATTGTTTTATATTCTGTTTGATTCTTTTCTAATCTATTCTATTATTTGATATTCTATTCTAATTCATTCTATTCAAATTCATTCTATTCAAAATTTCAATTTTGGAAAACAGTTCTACTTCATTATATTCTATTATAATATTTTTCTATCCTGTTCTATTGTTTTTTATTCTATTCTTTGAATTTCTATTCTAATTCTTTCTGTTCTAATCTATTCTATTCTAATCTTTTCTATTCTATCCCAGTTGAGTCTATTCTTTTGTATTCTGTTTCTTTATTTTCCATTCGATTGTGTTTTGTTGTCAAAATCAAATGTGTTTTCGAATTGATTTGAATTTCTGCCGAATGTCATTATTTCTGATTCCATTAAATGTGTTACTATTATGCAAAAAACTGCACATGTCTATGGGTTGTGTCATTGTGCACATAGTCCCAGATGAGTGGGACTGGAAATTGTCTCCCCATGGGCCCCTGGCCGTGCTCCACACTGGGGTCCTTCTCGGTACTCTTCAGACCCAAACTACTGTACACCCCAGTGCCCCACTTATAGGGTTTGATTTACTAAAGGCAAATAGGCTGTTCACTTTGCAGTAAAAAAATCACTTAGCAAAGAATACCCAATCACATGCAAGAAAACAAAAAGCAACAGTATATTTGCATGATCATGATTGGATAATGGAAGTCAGCATAGCATCACCTCATTCACCAAATAAAGGAACATTCCCAATCCATGTGAAAATTCCCTTGCAAAGTGAACAGCCTATTTGCCTTTGGTAAATCGACACCATGGTCTCTGTTCCTCTGCTAGCCTTGAAGTGGTTCAAAAGCCAGGAGACTTTTTCCCTCAATACATTCCCTGCGTTAAGGTATAATATGTCCTCCTGAACACCCTAAGTCCTCACTCAGTCCAGTGATGTGCTCGTCTCTAATGGCTCTTGTTGGGAATACAACAGCATGTACTATATAGTATTGTGTGTTAATATCACTTGACCAGTAGATGGCACTGTACACTAAGGTTACCAGTTGTGCATATGTGTAAAACTTGTTGGTTCTCTCTCTTCCTCTCTTCAAAACCAAGATAACCTGCTGAAATGTGTTCTGTATGTTTGCAACTTAAGCCACACAAGTAAAAAAGAGTTTTGCCTCATCACAAGCTACCAGTGTCTTCTCTAACACATAACCAACAGCTCTCTCCCCTCTTCCCACTCTCACAGGCTTTACTGAGGCAACCGTAGCCCTTGGCTCCTGCTGCTGTCAATCAAATCCTGTGAGCAAACAGCAGCGGGCAGGGCCAAGCTGTGCTGTGTGTGTCTATGGACACACACAGCCCAGCTCAGGAGTGAGCCCACACGTGTGCCCCTAAGTGCTTGGTATAGGGGCAGACAGAGAAGGGGAGGAGCGGAGAGCACTGGCAGGGGACCGCTGTAGAGAAGATTTGGGGTCACTCTGGGCAATACCATTGCACAGAACAGGTAAGTAGAACACATTTATTGTTTTTATTTTAAAAAATGATCCTTTATTAACACTTTAACTCACTGCGCAGCATATATTTTGGGGAACCAGCAGGGGTCATGTGCTCATACCTGCATCTGGTGTACAGAACACCCCCAGCTTGCCATGTTGCATTGCACTTTAGATAAAATTACAGAGGCTGCAAGTTGATAACATTAATGTATATGTAAACCCTCACCTTGTAAAACAACCCATTCAATTTAAAACAGAAATGAAACGTAGAACATTTGTGTATAGATATAAAAATGTTTATAAATGCCTATTATTCTCTTTTTTTAAGTGATCACATTCCCTCTTTTCTCAGCTCCATATGGAGGCGAAAGCACAGCACACTGGTCTTCCCAGTGCATGGCTGTGCAGGGGGGGAGGGTGTCAGCAGAAGTCATTGGCCAGAACAAGGGGTGGACAGGAGAGGCGGCTGCACTGGGAGCAATGGTTTGTTGCAGGGATGTGGGCGGCCTGTGCAGAATTTCTTCTGTTACAAGGTTGACAGGAGTAGGGACAGCGGCATCACTACTCCTGTTAGTCTAGCACTGGGAGCAGCAAGGAGACAGCCAGGAGGAGATGTAGGTTTCGCACCCCCCTAAGGGGATCACCTAAGCTCGGAAAAGGGAGGGGGGCACAGTTTGACATCTTTTCCCTGGGCGCTGGATGACCTTTTCCCAGCACTGATTAAAGGAGAACTGACCATGCTGTGCTCTCCTGCCTGTTGTGGTCAGTTTTTATTAGGAAAGCAGAGGGACTGGCAGGAACCCCAGGGATTTCACACAAAGGAAGAAACACAAAGAGAACAGGATTTCATACATGTACTTAGTACAGAAGGCATATGTCAGCCTATGAAATGTTGGGTTTACACTTGCCCTCCAAAGGACCTGACCAGGCCATTTTTTGCATTATAGCGCTGCATTACTTTCACTGACAATTGCACGGTCATGCAACGCTGCACCCAGATGAAATTTAGGTCTTTTCTTTCCCATGAATTGAGCTTTCTTTTGGTGGTGATTGCCTATGCATTTTTTTATTTTTTACGCTATAAGCAAAAAAAAAAAGACGACAATTTTCAGAAAAAAAACAATATTTTGGACGTTTTGCTATTAAACATGTCCAGCAAAAAAAATTTAAAAATCTAATTTTGTCATAAATTTAGGCCAAAATATATTCTGCTACATGTCTTTGCTAAAAAAAAAATCTCCCAATACGTGTAAATTAATCGGTTTCCATGAAACTTATAGCATTTACAAATGGCGGTATAGATACTCGGATTTTTTTTTTCCTACTACAGTAGTAATGGCGGCGATCAGCTTTTAGTGGGACTGTTGATACTGGGGGGAGACTAACTTGGTGTCACTGACATCCCCAGTTACACCAATACAGTAATCAGTGCTAACAAACAGCACTGACACTGTGCTAATGACACTGGGCAGGAAGGGGTTAATGTGAGGGGCGATCAAAGGGTTAACTATGTGCAGGGAGTGTTTTTACTAGGGGGTGGAGGGTGTGTGCTTCTCTGTAAGCACACTGATCGGGATGGCTGTGCTGTGCACAGCCATCCAGAGCTGTGTGCCCGAGCTGACAGGGAGGAAGACTGTTTGTAAACAAAACAGTCTTCCTCCCTGTTGGTGATTGTCGGTAATCACCGAGCGCTGGCGAGAAATCATCAGCCGGGACCTGGTGATTGACATCCGCGGTCGTGAATGGCGGCACAGGTGGGATGCTCGCCCCCTACCCAGAAATTCAAAATCGCATATATATATACATGTGATTTTGCACACCCGTGCCGCCATGTAGCAGTATATCTGCTATCGGCGGTGGTTAAGCGGTTACCTTACAACATGGCTTGGCTATGTTTTTCCATGAAAGTGGAGTTATCCATTCACTCAGATTGTAGTCTCTGGAAATTTACAGAACATGCCAATCACAGCGTGCAATAGACCCTACAAGTTTAATAAAAATGACATGGTTAACCTTGCTATTGGGTATTAGGCAGCCTAACTTCCACAAACATACTTCTCCAGAAATCAGGTCTCCGGACATAAGGGCCTAGAAACAGAGTCCTCCTGGTAACACCTCCTGCAATTCTCACCATACCACCACTATATCTGGTTTCAATCTCCGCCATGCATCTGGCTGGGCCAGGCAGGACATGAAGAATGTACCCAGGGAAAACTAGGGGAGTCCTAAGCAACCTGCCCAACCAAAAGTCTGCAGACCAGAAGGACATTCCTACTGAAGTCCTCCTGAAGTGCACCTGTAGGGACTGCCTGACAATTTCAGTTATTGCCTTTTTTTTCCTTTAAAGCTTGAGGAGTGCTTGGTGCCAGCCAGAAAGATGTCCTAGCAATATTGTTCACCAGACACAGGCTTGTCGAGCACTGTCTTAATAATCCCTGCGATGATAAACTGTCAGTCACCGCAAGAAACAGAAAAAAGAAAGAGCAGCTTGGAAATTGCTTTCTTGGCATCTCTTTGTAACAGCATGAGATGAATAGTAACATCGCTGTTTATATATTTTTTCTACTTAAATATATTTTAAAATATTTCGGATGAGCAAGCCCTAACAATCACATCTTCTTGCTGCTATGTCTGTCTTAGCATCTTAAAGTGAACTTGTGCTTTGCCCATGTAGGACAAAGTACAATGTAATAGGTTTATCCAACTGCCCTCATCCAAGCTTTACATATTCACCTTCCTCCCTCTCCCCTGCCCAGGGGCTGACTGACAACTCATGGGGCCCCCGGGCAATAGGGGATCATGGGGCCCCTGTGTCCTTGCCCAAACTCAAAAAAGCCTATGAAAAAGGTACCAGGGCATCTCATGGGGCCCCCTACTGACCCCGAGCCCTCGAGCAGTGCCCGAGTTTCCAAATGGTCAGTCCGCCCCTGCCCCTGCCACATCTGGCCATCTGCAGTAGACAGAGAATGCCATGTGTTAAGCTGGCCATACATGGGCCAAATTTATCTGGAATTGGACAATATTTGTTCTGTGGGTGGCCCTGTTGGCCCCATGTGGTTTGACAAAAGTCAACTGAAAATTGGCTTTGGTCAAAGGAGCAAGGTGGAAAATTCTCACATGAACAGGATCAATGGATCAATGAATCAAACCAGGTATCAATAAAAATCTGACAGAGGTCCTAAAACTTCTAAACTCTGCAAGGAAAACTATTTTTATCACTGTCTGTCACGGTCAGGGGTCAGGATTGGAGACCCATAGCTATAGCAGTAGAGATGCTCCCACCAATCAGCAGGGGGACTACACAAGTAGGTCACCCTGGGAGATGACATGGGCTCACCCAAGGTGCGGAGTCTAAGCAGAACTAGTATTCACCAGAGTTCCTGGTGGTGGAAGTGGGTTTTGCTGTGGGTTAATACCAGGGCACGATCCTCAGAATGACCCCACCAAAAGGTGATCTAGTAGCAGATATAGCAGGTAGGGATAAAGCAGAGGCACAGTCAGTAAACAAGCAAAAGGTCAGTAACAAGTGGTTGGGATCAAGCGGAAGTGTAGCTGAGGAACACGACAAAGGTTGGTAACAAGTGGTTACAGGTTGGGATCAAGCAGAGGCATGGTAGTGGAACAAGCCAAAGGTTCATAATGAAAGGTAGTGGAGATAAGGACAGCCGCAGCTACACAAAGGAACAATCAGCAGGAGAGAGCCCAACAGAAGGTGAAGAGACATGGTTTAAATCAGGAAGATCATGGGAAGAGCAAAATGTTCTAAGTTCACCAGAAACAAGAGGCAAGGAAAGTTTGTCTTAAAGTATTACTAAACCCCGGACCCTGCATTCACTACACCTGGTCTCCCACAGTACACAGAACATGGAAATGCAATTATTTTAGCAAAAATAAACTGCTAAATACCTTTTCTCATCAGCAGTTAGAGCAGTCTTGTGACTTCACACTATCAGTGTCCAGCAGAGCACTAGTTAAAGCTTTTAAGAGGAGTTTTCATTCTCCCGATTGTCCTTTGAGGCTACAGGACCCCTGACCCTCTGTCTGGACAGTGTTCATTAGCCCTGTGCTGAAAACATGCACTCCCCCCCCCAAAAAAAAAACAAAAAAAACACCCTAGCAATACACAGCAAACTGACCATGTGCAGCTTGCCCCCAAGGCTCTGTTCTATCAGCATATGGATTGGGGAAAGTAGAAGAGGGGGAGGATCAGAGAAGACAGGATCAAACAGCTTTTTTACACAGTGAGTATAACAAGCATGCTTTACTGCATTTACAGACTGATTTTACTGTTGGGGGTTTAGTAACTCTTTAAGGGCTCACGTACACTGCAGCTGCTAAACTCACGTTTAGTGTTTTTTTTCGTTCAGTGTTTTTTTCACCAGCCCCTGAACTCACCCTAAATTTTTGCTATGTGTCCATGTACACATCTTCGTTTACAGTCGTTTACAGGCAGTTGAGTTTACAGTCGTTTCTTTGAACGCAACAAACTTGCTTTAAAACGTCGATTTTATCATCGTTTCAAACGCAAAACACTTGTATATGTGGCTAAACGCGACAAATCACATTTATAAGCATTTGCGTTTGAAATTTTTTTGAACTCTTCCAGTTCCCAATGCTGTCAAGAGCCTTTTTTCATCATGAAAAAATGCATGCAAAGCGTTTTCAAGGTGCTCAGATGGACAAAACACTGAACACAGGATGTTCCTACCAAGCTTGTCACACATTGTAATGACCAATTCACACCTCAGACCTCTCCCACCCTTGGAAACAAAAGATATGTTAATGACCATTCACACCTCAAATTCCTCATGAAGACCCCCTGCCAGGTGACCTTAATGACTCCCTCCACCAGACACCTTTCCCACCCTTGGAAACAAAAGAAATGTTAATGAGCAACTCACACCTAATTATCTCAACACATACTGCTGTCTCTGCTTCTACTGTGTGTATTTCTTTGAAACAGTCTGAAATAGTTAATAATTTACCACTTTTCAGTGCATTCTGGGCATTTTGGAGGTTCTCCTGTGCTTATCTTTAAAAAACGCTTCTACACGCAAACGCGCATAAACGCGTTATGCAAACGCAGCTAAACAGACGTTTTTTAACCTACATTTTCCAGCAGTCAGTTTCCATCGTTTAGAAATGTCCCGTGTACATCTCAGGTGGCACAGTGAGAAGAGCCACAGTCAGACACTACAGAGGTCGTAAGTTCAGATCCAGACTGTGACACTGTTACGGAGTTTTTCTAGCTCTTCCTGTCTAACAGAACGTAAGGACAACTTTCCAAAATGAGGACACAGGTTCTAACAAATTTAAACTCTATTCAAGACCTGGTGTTAGCCTATATTCTGAATTATGGCCAGGGCATGGTTTTGATATAGTTGGGGTGATTCCCTTCCATGCTATACCCCGTACTTCCGAAATTATCCTGCTATTTTTTATAAATTATTTATATAGTGAAAAAAGCTAGTTAAGTCAACCTAACATGGCTAACAGACCTCTCTCCCGACAGTCTCACCCCAGAAATATAAAGACACAGACTAGCCAATAAACCAGCACAGTGTCTGTTAATAATATGTAAATAATTAATAGGTGATAACACTGAATCTATGACAATACTTGGTCTGGAACAGTAGATAATACAAGCACGCACCTTCTTGCCTTTTACTGCAAATTGGCATCATTCATATTTTATAGGAAGAAAAAAGGCTCTATTTCACCTTTCCTTTTTAGGTCCCAGAGAGCAGCAAACTTTTTGTATTTTTTTACTGTGAAAGGGTAAGGCCTCCTCCTCCGCCAAATTGCTAACTTTTATTAGTATTATTATCCACATTATTTTTTTTATTTCATTTTACAAAAAATACATTTCATTTTATTCATCAACCCGGCAGTGGAAGCCTGTTACTCCAATTCAATGCTGCAAATTCAAGGTTGTAAAAGAACAGCGTTCCAAAAGCCGTGGGGAGACAGTCATTCACCGCACAATATACTCACAAAAGTGCAATCAGAAACAACAAAAAGCGGGTAAAAAAAAAAAAAAAAAAACCAACGTACGCATTTCCTGGCAGGTACCATTTCTTTTTTTACATTCTTTAGTAGGTATACAGAGCGTGCTATGTAGAGATTACTGATTTTTGTAGCGCCAGGGTCTTAAAGTACCTTTGTTGCCCATAGCAAAAAATAAAGTTGCCTTTCAATTTTCTAGTTGTTTCTGTTCTTTGCAGCAAACATCTGCTTTCCTGCTTTTCAGTGGTTTTTTTTTTTGTTTGTTTTTTTAAACAAATAGTTTTTTATTGAAGTTTTTACCTTGGGCCTATTACATAAAGGTGCACAAAGCATCGATAGAAAACTATACATACATAGAATATTGCTGTATAGGATGGTACATTCATCTGGTCAGTAAAGTATCACAGTCATGCAGGAACATACAATATATATAATATATCTGTAGCACTATCCCTGAAGGAGCCGCTTGTATTTTTGCCTGGGTCTCCCCTATCTTCTCCCAAAAACAGTATTTTCTATAGCCAGGTACACACACACACTTTCGTTCGTTGCCTTCAATAACCACTTTAGTGGATGTTGTCTTTTTATTGTAGAACTGAGGATAGGGATGAGGGAATTTAGTAGAATACTCTAGAATAAGAACTATTCACAACTGAGGATATCTAACTGATCTCTGGTTGAGCTTTAGGTGAAGAGCTTGCAGAAGCAGATAGCAGGCTTCTCTTTTCCAATAGCAACAAGTAGTTTAGGAGTGAGCAAAGTCTCTTTAGCAGTAGTAGTAGTAGCAGGGCACGGTTCCTCAGGTAATGGCCAGTTATGGCACATTGGCAGTCTAAAAGTAATAAAAACTGAGCAAAGTCCTATGCAGTAGCAACAGTTGGAAAAGGTCTTCAGAACACTAGCCAGTGTTACATTTGCTTAGACCCACGTTGACTATAAAGCACCAGAGGGGTAGCAAAGCACACAGTCCCCAAGATCTCTTCCAAACAACACCCTCCAGTGGTACCAGACAGATCTTTGGCAGAAAGCTCCCATCGGTTAGCGTACTGAAGAAAAAGGGTCTCTCTCTCTCTCTTTACTTCAGGCCTTCAGGTCACCCAGGTGCCAGGCGTGGCAAGCCTTCCTCCAGCCTGGCTTGGTGGAATCCTCTCCAGGAAAGACACTGAGCCTATGTGCTCACAGAATCTAAATACTTCTCCCAGCACGGAACGGGGCCACCCTCCCCTGGGCAGGGCTGTATCCATATTGATGCCTTTTATTTTTCCAGCCCCTACCTATATTCTGCAAGACTTTCACAGCTTCTTGAAGGCAGGTGGAACTCAAGACAATCTCAAACAGCACCAAAGCATCATGAGCAGGCCTGACTAATCAATTACAGCAGACTGTCAAACTAAATTTACCTAACAGCCTCTCTGTTAAGTAGAGAAACACAGCTATACTTATCCTAACTGTACAAATCCTAGCACCTACCTAGGAGGGTGCAACATATCTACTACTTAATATTAGGAGTGATAGATGAACAACCTAACATGTTTCCATATGGGATGGTTGCCAGGGGATAACATCTGTAGTTTGTTTTCCCCAATTTCAATAGGGAAGAGGTTCATAGTCAATGATCTTTGGTGTGTTGCAGGTAGGGGGTATTCTTGGTTGTAGGAGACGACTGAGTATTGGTGGTGGTGGGCCAAGTAGGTTTCAGACAATCCTTCTTGCCAGAACCTTTGTGGGCAGCTCTACTTTGATATCAATGTTTCCCCCAGCCAGTACTGAATTAACTTGCTTAAACCAAGAGGTCAGAGTTTGGGGTGTGGAGACATCCAGTACTGGGCAAGGCACTTACATGCCAGAAAAAAATTGCCTGAATTCTTATGTTAGAGTATCAGGTTGGCATCGTTCAACTATTTTTTTTTTTAATGGAGCTCTGCAGTGTGAGGCTTCTCAACACCCTGCAAACATAGTATGTGAACCATGAAATTACAGCATACAGAAGAAAAAGTGCACCAGGGTACAGTAATAGAATATCTGGCCTCAGATGGAATTCCACCTCCTGTTGCTTTGGCAGGCGTAGTACCCACTAAGCACGAGTGAATGGGAGCGCTCTGCAAAGCACATGGTTTCAGCCAGCTCGTGTGGAGTTCAAGGGGTAAAAGAGGTGGTTGGGAGGCAATAGAATGCCTCCTCACCAGGGGCGGACTGACCATTTGGAAACTCAGGCACTGCCTGAGGGACCGGGGTCAGTAGGGGGCCCCATGAGAAGCCACTGGTACCTTTTTCATAGGCTTTTTTGAGTTTGGGCAAGGACACAGGGGCCCCATGATCCCCTATTGCCTGGGGGCCCCATGAGTTGTCAGTCTGCCCCTGCTCCTCACTGCCTGTCAAATGCTCTGAAGAGCAATCCGGGCACAGAACGTTCTTCAAGGAGCAGAGCACATGTGAAAGAGCCTTTAGCAGGTTGAACAAGTCTCCCCAACCTCCGCCTGTCCATTCCTGGTAGACTGGGGGGTAAGAGTGCCTCATGTCGCCTACACATGGTCGTACCAGGACTCTGGTCTGTTGGGGGGCCACGGACGGGCAGGAAGGTGAGTGTGGGATGCTTATGCAATGTTTGTTCTTAGGGGCCAGTGTTACCAATGGAGGTGTATAAATACAAACTTGGCAGAACTATTTATCCTATGAAATTACATGTACATTTGTTCTGTGTAAATGAGGGAAAACTTGAATGTTAGGCTGTTTTATCTACAACTGGGAAAATACTACATTATGGCCACTAGATGGAGCGGAGTAAATACTTATTTACTGAGATCTTCCTCCCCATCTAGTGGCCATAATTAATATTTCTCTTTTTCACTCTGTCCTGTATGAATGATAGTGTTACTAAACACACAACAGTAAAATCAGTCTGTATATGCAATAAAGCATGTTTGTTACACTCACTGTGGAATCTAAGGGGTTAATCCTCTGCATTGTGTAAAAAGGCTGTTTGATCCTGTCTTCTCTGTTCCTCCCCTTTTTCAAGTGACCACTACTTATCTCCAGACTGAACCGTAGGCATGCACATGCTCAGTTTGGTGTGTATTGATAGAGAGGTTTTTTTTTTCTTTGGGAGAGTGCATGTAATCAGCACTGTCCAGACAGAGGTCAGGGGTTCTGCATCCTCATAGACCAAAATGAAAATTCCTCCTTCAAGCTTGAGCTAGTGCTGGGAGTCCAGGGAGACCAGATATAGTGAATGCAGGGTCCTGGGAGACTGGATATAGTGGATGCAGGGTCCGGGGAGACTGGATTTAATGGATGCAGGGTCCGGGGAGACCAGATATAGTGAATGCAGGGTCCTGGGACACCAGATATAGTGAATGCAGGGTCCAGGGAGACTGGATATAGTGAATGCAGGGTCTGGGGAGACCAGATATAGTGAATGCAGGGTCTGGGGAGACCAGATATAGTGAATGCAGGGTCCGGGGAGACCAGATAGATATAGTGAATGCAGGGTCTGGGGAGACCAGATGTAGTGAATGCAGGGTCCGGGGAGACCAGATATAGTGAATGCAGGGTCTGGGGAGACCAGATATAGTGAATGCAGGGTCCAGGGAGACCAGATAGATATAGTGAATGCAGGGTCTGGGGAGACCAGATATAGTGAATGCAGGGTCCAGGGACCAGATATAGTGAACGCAGGGTCCGGGGAGACCAGATATAGTGAATGCAGGGTCTGGGGAGACCAGATATAGTGAATGCAGGGTCCAGGGAGACCAGATATAGTGAATGCAGGGTCCAGGGAGACCAAATAGATTTAGTGAATGCAGGGTTTTTAGTAACACTGTAAAGTGGTAGTAAACTCTATTTTTTAATTTTACCTGTAGGTAAAATGAATATCTCCTAAATATGCACCGTTTAGGAGATATTCTCTCTTTTTTTAAGCCGGCGTATGCACTGAAGGAATGGCATGTCCGTGCCATTCTTTCAGAGCCATGTGCCGTGGCCCAGGACTCCCATGCGCATGCACGGGAGTGACGTCATCGGACAGGCCAGAGCTCGTGAACACGGAAGGAAGACCGGGTGAAGATGGAAGCCCCTACAGCAATAGAGGACTTTGTTTTAAAGTAAGTTTTACATAAAGTTCTAGTATGTGATGTATACCAGCACACTGTGACGTTACCTTGCGGGGAATTTTTTTCTTTTCCCTTTCCTGTGGTCTACTACCGCTTTAATTTCCACCTGGATAGAAAATAGCATAACAACATTTATTTTGTCCCCATTTACACAGAACATATGTACATGCAATTTTTCAGGATGAATAGCTCTGTAGGTTCTATAAAAATACCCCAAAGTGTTTTTATTTATTTTTATTTTTTTGTAGCCTTACTTTGAAGTGGTGGATGAATCAAAAATCATGCTATAGAAAATCCTCACAAATAGCTTTTTTGTTGTCCGGATGACATATTATTTTATAACTCCCAGTTCTGTCTCCCACATGTATACAGCGGCAGTAGAAATGATTCTACTGTAGAAAACATGACACTGAAATCTTTACTAAACAATATGAAAAGTATGCATTATCAGAGTGGTTAATGCATTGCAAGAACACAAATGACTATGGGATGTGGTAGAGGAGTGGGGGGGGGGGGTAACAAATGAAAATCAGCAACACTAGGTCAGCACAGTCCAACCAGGACAAACACAACAAGAACATTCTGCGAAGCAGAAAATATAATTTTTTTTCCCAGAGAGAATACAAAGACATGAACCGGGGGACACTTGCTGCACAGACAGCCATTCATGGCACTTTAATTGTACCTCTCCATATTAACTGTCATAGCCCTTCTATATGACCCCTGACCTCCGACTTTCAAACTGAAAAGTCAAACTCAAAGCAAGTAAAGCAAAGAGGAAAATAGAGATCTTTTATTAGGAAGCCGGTCGTGAGTACGTAAGAGAGAATATTCCAGTTCCAGAAGCACCACTGTGACAGGTTCTCTTTAAAACTTATCACAGTGTACATTAGAAGCTGCAGTCAGATAGATCCCATTTTTCTGGGTTAGAGGACATCAGCATCATCTAGCTCAGGGGTCTCCAAACTATGGCCCTCCAGATGTCGAAGTACTACAATTCCCAGCTTTCCTCTGCCTCTGGGAGTCTTGCCTGTGGCTGTCAGAGTCTTGCAAGGCCTCATGGAACTTGCAGTCACTCAACAACTGGAGGGCCATAGTTTGGAGAGCCCTGAGATTCTAGCTGAAAGAAATCAATTCTTTCAATCATTGAGGTTTAACATCACATGTAGGAGTTTATCTAAGCCAGTATGCATGCAAATGCACCCACTCCTCCAATCAAATTATTTTAATATTTGCATAACTCCTCCCAAGCACCAGACCAGAGTTTTCATTGAAGGAGTATACAGATGTTTTCAGGAAGCAATGTTGAGCACCCTGTCGGCCTCTCCCACCAGCCATGATCTGTTGGTGATGCATAGAGAAGCACAGAGATCCAGTGATGACATCACTGGGTCTAATATATTATGTAATGAAAATGGAAAGGATTTATTTAACCATTGGAGCAGTATAAGCTGCCATTAGTTCTGTTTTAAGAGTCTACCGTGCATGCACAGGCCTGACTAAGAACTTGGCAGATGGGTTGACGGTTTCTTTGGTGAGGCTCGGGCTGGGATACAGTACAAAAGTGCAGTTAAGTTGTCATATATTACATGGGCATATTGGTGGCCAAAACCTTCTCTGCCAATAACTTAACAGAGTTTAAAGTAGTCAATTGATGACGGAACCTCAATGTAATGATCTGTATCAATTTAAAGTGCAGTCCTTTGTAAATATTAACGTGGTTGTAAAGGCTTGGGGTTCTTACCTTCTATGCATGAAGGTAAAAAAAACCTTCCGTGTGCAGCAGCTCCCCCTAATACTCACCTGAGCCCCATTGTGATCCAGTCATGTGCACAAGAGCCTCAGCTGTCCCTAGACTCTCCCTCCTCATTGGCTGAGACAGCCATTGGCCCCCCACTTTTGTCAGTCACAGCCAGTGAGCCAATGAGGAGAGAGAGAGGGCAGGCCAAGCTATGGCTCTATGTATGAATGGTCATGCAGAGCTGCGGCTCAGAAGCAAGCTTTCTTGGGTGCCCCCACATCAAGCTGCTGCTCAGGGGGCACTCGGCAGGAGGGAGGAGGGGCCAGGAGCCCAACGGGGGACCTGACAAGGGGCAGATCCTCATTGGCTGAGACAGCCATTGACTCCCACTGTTGTCAATCACAGCCAGTGAGCCAATGAGAAGAGAAAGAGGGCAGGCCAAGCTATGGCTCTATGTATAAATGGACATGCAGAGCAGAGTCTCCGAAGCAAGCTTTCTTGGGTGTCCCCACATCAAGCTGCTGGCTCTGGGGGCCACTCGGCAGGAGGGAGGGGCCAGGAGCCCAGTGGGGGACCTGACAAGGGGAGGATCAGGTATACTCTGTGCAAAATCATTGCACAGAGCAGGTAAGTATAGACATGTTTGTTATTTTAAAAAATTGCATTAACCACTTGCCCTCCTGAGGATTTACCCTCCTTCCTGACCAGGCCATTTTTTGCAATATGGAGCTGCATTACTTTAACTGACAATTGAGCGGTCATGGAACGCTGCACCCAAATTAAATTTACGTCCTTTTTTTCCCCACGAACTGAGCTTTCTTTTGGCGGAATTTGATCGCCTGTGTGTTTTTTAACTTTTTGCGCTATAAAAAAAAAAAAGACTGACAATTTTGAAAAAAAAACTATATTTTTGACTTTTTGCTATTAAACATGATCCAGTAAAAAAATTTTAAAAATACAATTTCATCATAAATTTAGGCCAAAATCTATTATGCTTCATGTCTTTGCTAAAAAAAACTCCAATACGTGTAAATTAATCCATTCATGTTAGCGTTTACAAATAGATACTGGAATTTTTCTTTTTCTTTTTACTGGTAATGGCGGCAATCAGCAGCTTATAGCGGGACTGTAGGACTGTGGAGGACATTCTGACACTGGAGGGAACTGACTTGGTGTCATTGACATCCCCAGTGACACCAATACAGTGATCAGTGCTAAAAAAAAAAAGCACTGACACTATACTAATGGCACTGGGCAGGAAGGGGTTAAGATGAGGCGCGATCAAAGGGTTAACTGTGTGCTGTGTTACATTGGGCTGTGTCCATGTGCTTCACTGTAAGCACACTGGTTTGCATGGCTGTGCTGTGCACAGCCATCCAAAGCAGTGTGCACGAGCTGACAGGGAGGAGAGCTGTTTTGCTTACAAACAGTTTTCCTCCCTGTTGGAGATGCTCGGAAATCACCGGACGGTGGCAAATACTTCACCAGACGGGGGCCCGGTGATTGACAGCCAAGGCCGCAAATGGCAGCGTGGGTAGGGCATGCGCCTCCTACCCAGAAATGCAAAATCATGTATATACACATGATTTTGTGAACCCGTGCCGCCCTGTAGCAGTATATCTGCTATAGGGTGGTCGGGAGCCACTTTAAGTGTAAAGCGCCCTATGGGGCAACAGGATGTTTGATAGGCAGCTGCCAGGTACCAAGGGATAATTACAATCTCCTCGGGTAGGAAGGCTATATTTCAATTAGGAAACAGAAGTGCCACTCCAAAATGAAATTTTATACCAAACATAAATTGGATACAAGAGCCAACGTGTTTTGAGGGCCAAATATCACTCCCTTTATCAGGACTTATAAAGACGTGGAGTCAGAGTGTGGGGACCCACATCATGAGTTTCACGATTTAGCCTGCAGTTTTCCTACCTGTGTAATTCTTACCTCCCCGTTGCAGTGCTTCTAGTAGACATAATTGCTTCAACATGTGTTTGGCTTCTGTGCTCACCTATGGGCGTTGCCTGCTATTATGTCCATTTCTTCCCTTTCCCTTCCATCCTTTCCTTCCATCCTTTCCTTTCCCTTTTCCCTTCCATCCTTTCCCTTCCCCTTTTTTCCTTTCTCTTTTTTCCCTTCCATCCTTTCCTTTCCCTTTTCCCTTCCATTTCCTTTTCCTTTCCTTTCTCTTTTTCCATCTTTTCCATTTCCTTTCCTTTCCCTTTTCCCTTCCCTTCCATCCTTTCCTTTCCTTTCCCTTCCATTTTCCTTTCCTTCCATCCTTCCATCCTTTCCTTTCCCTTCCATCCTTTCCTTTCCCTTTTCCCTTCCATCCTTTCCCCTTCCCTTCCATCCTTTCCTTTCCTTTTCCCTTCCATCCTTTCCCTTCCATCCTTTCCTTTCCTTTTTCCCTTCCATCGTTTCTTTCCCTAGCCTCCCTATATTAGACATGCTTAGTGAATCCCACGTTGAATGAGCAACTTCCCAGTTCTCTGAGCTCCTGTATGCCTACTATTACATGTAATTTGTGTCTGACTTCCCATGTACAGATTTGTCTACCATTTGTGCTTGCCTGTTGCCCACCTTGACCTCAGCTTGTTTCCAGGATTTCCTTCTGTCTCCTGCCGTTTCTACTCAGCACATGAGAGTGATCCCCTCATCTTCAGTGGGCATATTTGGGGGCCATGACCTGATTCCAGCTTGATGAAAGTCTACCCCACCATCAGGGGCCCTAGTGAAGAAAAAGGATGGAGCTTAGACTCCACACCCTGGGGGACCCCAAGTTGGCATTCTATGGATTACTATCACAGACACCTGATAATGAGTTGAGCCTGGTGTATTTTGTCAGCCCCTAGCTTTTATATGTCTTGGATACTTCAACAACATGATCTCCTGGTCATAATTCTTGATTCTGTTCCTGTCCACCTGGGAGATCTGGGTACTCTCGCCCACTTTTTGCTCCTGGGTCCTGGGTACTCTCACCCACCAGCTGCTCCTGTTAAATCATGAAATGTATAAGTCCGAAATTAGGTTTATTCCAAACATAAATTGGATACCAGATCCAACATGTTTTGGGGGCAGCCATTGCCAAAATGTGAGTCCTTACATTCTGAATCCATGTCTTTATAAGCCCTGATGAAGGGGTTGATTTCTGGTCCTTGAAACGCATTGGCTCTTGTATCCAATTTATGTTTAGAATAAAACTTCATTTCAGACTTATGTATTTTGGTGCGGCACTTCAATTCCCTCATTCAAATAATTTATCGGTAACAGGAGAGGCTGGAAAACACAAAGTTGGGTGAGAGTACCCAAAACTCCCAGGGGGATGGGAACAGAATCAAGAATTATGACCTGGAGTACTTGGTGTTAAAGTATCCAAAACATATAAAACCTAGGGGCTGGAAGACTCCACCAGGCTCAACCAATGATTAAAACTATCACTTTTAGGTGTGCTGAAACCTTTAGATCTCGATTTGACCCGCGATATGTAGCAGAATACATAAAGTAATTCCATTTTTATCAATAGACATTCAGAAGTAAGCAATGTAACTTTAACATTTTTTCCCTGAAAATCAGTCTCCTTAAATCTTTTTTTTATAAACCTTTCAAAGAATATTCCATAAATTACATATAGTACATCCCCCCTCCTGGGTTCTTTAATAAATAATAGTTTCACTGAAGGCACAACGCATTTCATGGCCCCAGAGTAGTTAAAGGTACGGTAGACTCAGGGGGCCGTTAAATATGCATACCGTGGGGTGTTTTATGTGTTTTGATCTCTGCAGCATCCAGCCACTGATTGTCTTCCAAACCTCCCGAGGCTATTTAAAAGAAAATTGATATATTTCAGAAATGAAAAAAAGAATCATCTGTAAAAATGACATAAATTATAGCCGCGTACTGTGGATTCTTAATTTTCCTCTATTTTTCCCAGTTGCTTCGGCTGAGTGTGCAAAATTGAGATATTACATAGAGATTATGTTTGCTGTTCTGCGTTGGAGGTGACATACGACGCGTTTTACTGACAAATATCAAGGTCAGGAGGTTCCGGCGCTCTGTATTGCCGAGGCAGCAGAATACAAGCGGAAAATTCTCAGCAAGAATCAGAAAGCTATACGGAAAATTAACTTCATCAAAAATACTCTACCTGTGGACGCAATTCTCCATCGTCTCTGCACAAATTGCGGCACTATTTTAAATTTACCTCTTGATGGCGTTTATGTCTGCTGGGACTCATAAATGCATTGAAAATGATTTTCATTCCATAATTTTGCATCGTGCTGCGTAAAAACACTGAAACAACCCTACTATTAACAAGAAGCAGCCAACAGACTGCAATAGGCAATAACTTTTCCTACTTAAGGTTTGGTAGGCTTCATTTAAAGCACACCTATAAAATGGTGAAGAGAATTTCCAATAGGGGTAGTGTAGGAAGGTGCCTACTAAGGTAGAATTCTGTATGGCATACTAAGGGTTGTTGCAGTTAATGGTTCAGCACTCTGAGGTGTCTTCCCCCTGCATGACTCACTTCCTGTTTCTGAATGGTTCAGCACTCTTGATGAGTCTTCCTCCTGCATGACTTGCTTACCGTTTATGAATGGTTCAGCACTCTGTGTCTTCCTCTTGCATGACGCACTTCCTGTTTCTGAATGGTTCAGCACTCTGATGTGTCTTCCCCTTGCATGACTCACTTCCCATTTATGAATGGTTCAGCACTTTGATGTGCCTTCCCCCTGCATGACTCACTTCCCCAATTCTGAATGGTTCAGCACTCTGATGTGTCTTCCCCCTGCATGACTCACTCCCTGTTTCTGAAGTGAAATATTCAGTAGGAGACTGGGCCTTGTGGTTGTCCATACATGGGAGGAGAACAGTGAGGACAAATTGTGTCCCTATGTGACATTACGTTGCGCAGGAGTACCAGTTTCTCTCTCCCGCCTCTCTCTCTCTCCCCTCTCTTCTCTCTATCTCTCTCTTTTTCCCATCTCTCTCCCCTCTCTCTCCATTCTCTCTCTCTCCTCCCTCTCTCTCTCCTCCCTCTCCCTCTCTTCCCCCTCTCCCTCTCTTCCCTATTCAATCTCTCTTCCTCTCTCTCTCCCTCCCTCTCTCTCTTCCCTCTCCTCCTTCTCTCCCCCCTTCCCTATTATCTCTCTCCCTCTCTCTCTCCCCCCCCTCTCTCTCTCTCTCGCCTCCCTCTCTCCTCCTCTCTCTCTTCCCTCTCTCCCCTTCCCCCTCTCCCTCTCTTCCCTATTCTCTCTCTCTCTCTCTCTCTCTTCCCTCTCTCTCTTCTCTCTTCCTCTCTTCCTTCTCTCCTCTCTCCCCTCCTCTCCCTCTCTTCCCTATTCTCTCTCTCTCCCTTTCTCTCTATCCTACCTCTCTCTCTCCCCTCCCTCTCTCTCTCTCTTCCCTCTCCCTCTCTTCCCTCTCTCTCCCCCCCCCTCCCTCTCTTCCCTATTCTCTCTCGACTCTCTATCTTCCCTCTCTCTCTCTCGCCCTCTCTCTCTTCCCTCTCTCCCATATGTTCCATACAATCTGTAAGTGTATAATGTGCTGCATGTGTGAGATTGGGAAACAGCTCTCATTGTTTGAACACCGTTTGTGTGGAAGTAAATTAATGTTTTGACAGACATTTTGCGGTTTAGCCACAAGATGTCACTGTTTTTCTAACACAGCCACAGACTGCATAGATATTTGTATATTCATGAAGAGGTGGAGGTTTTTTTTGCACACAGAGTTGGAGAGAACAGGAAGGAGAGAGAGAAGCCATGTTTTGGAGCATGGTGAATAAGGGGCCCTGTGAGCTGAGAATCTGATGACATTCAGGTGTGAAAGCGTCCCTCCGTAACCAGAGCTGCAGCTAAGTGAAGCTAAGTGTGTCCAAGACCCTGATCCTGTTCAGAGAAAGTAAGATTGCTGCAAGGAATGCTGATGAGAGCAGAGGAACTAAGCAGCATATACTGCGGTACCGAATGCTTGTTGGACAGACATTTTGTTCTGTTCAGAATCACCAGCGGATGCAAAGCAGACCTGGGTCAGTAAGATTGTGCACGCACTTCATTTCAGTGTTGGCGCCTAGAGACTGAGTCCAGGCCTATAGTTAGTTAGTTAGGGTCTCTGTTTGTGTAAGGCTACAAGTGTTGTTACTGATTATTGGAAGGACTCCACAACTTAAAGTGACATTTCACATTGGAGAGCTGATAAAATCCTACAAACTCAAGCCAGACTGGCGTTTTGCTCAGAAGGAATAATCAGGCACGTGCTACAGGACCAGTTATGGGAGGGGGAATACTGTAGATTTGTGTTAGATTGTAAGCTGTTGTGCTGCACCGCAGGCTAGCCCATACCATACACCCATACACTGATTCCTGCTCTTTTAGAGTAATAACAGGTAAGGTGTGGCAGCTTATTTGTGCCCTCCAGTAGGTAAATTACTACACTTTCTACCTTCATCCATCAGGAGAGGTGCCGTGCTGTGCAGCACAAGGGTCTCAGCCTTTGGGCTGGGTGTATGTAAATTTATTGAATGTTTGTGGTTGTGTTTCTTTGCCACATCTAAGTAAAATTTTACTAAGTAAAAC